TGTATGTGTGTATATATATACATATGTATATATGTATATATATATATTTGACGTTGGATGTCCTTCCTGACGCAACCACAGATCACTGCTATCTAAGATGTCTGGAGGAGCAAATGGTGGGGATCAAGGGCCTTACTCAAAGGTCCAGGGTGGGGCAAATGAGGGTGGAGGCAGGTGTGGGTGTTTCACCTTTCCCACCCACATTTTGATGTTGTCGGTCTGGGGAGTTGAACCGGCGACCTTCTGATTACAGGCCCACCTTCTCTAACCTCTGCGCCCCCACTCCCTTTAAAAAAAAAAGTTTTTGTTTGTTTGTTTTGTTTGTTTGTTTGTTTTCATTCCAACTCATGTACCACACATGATGCGAATGACAATAAAGAACCTTGAACCTGACATTGTTAAAATCTGTTCTTTATGTGTTTGCTTTATTTTGTTGTATTTAAATGTTAGCATGTATTTCTTGTTTTATTTTTTTAATTCCTTGCCTTTAGTTTCCCAGCGTCTCCTTGTACCATCAGTCATTGTTGCCCCTCATTCATTCTTGTCTGCATTTAACCATTCACACCTGCTCTTCATGCTCATTATTCTCAGCCGTTACCGCTTGTAATCCTTTTTCCCAGCTTCCAGTTTTCTTTCAATTATCATTCTTTCAACCTGTAACACTATTAGCTCTACCTCCTTCTGTGCTCTCTTTGTTTTCTCTTTGGTATTTTATTTTGCTGACATGACACCCTTTTTATTTAGTAATTAAAATCTACATATTTGTTCAACCAGTTCTCAAAGTGCTGTCTGCCTCCTTGGGAGGTGGTGTTAATCAGTAGCAGAAGACGTACAGTTATTTTATATGAGTCAGAATTAACAAATGAGTAAGGAAATAAATATGGCTATAAGGTAAAATAGTTCATAATTAAATAAAATCCTACATTGGTGCAAGTACAAGCAGCAGATTATTTTTCACAAGTGATTTTTTAAATAAAAGGATCAATAAAAACAGTTTCAATATAATCTCATAAAACACTTTGTTATTTACCATTTACAGTAGTCCCTCATTTATCAAGGCAGATCCGTACCCTGACACGCTGCGATAAGTGAAAAACCTCTTCTCCGCTGCAGAGATCACACGCTGCAGGAAGTTTCTCCTGCAGTGTGGACTGCACACAGGTTCAGCAGGTGCTAAATAATTTAAAACAATTAATTTTAAATAAAAATTCCATGCTGATCGTGCGGCTCATCCATCAATCAGCCACTTGTGTGTCATGTCCAGTCTTACTTTGAAAAACCACGATAGAGCAAGTCTGCGAAAAACGAACCACGAAGTTGCAAGGAATTACTGTAATTTCTTTCTGTGGCTGGACTGATGCCATATATTTCTCCTTTTAATGCCTTGTTGTTTGATAAAACCAAACAGAAATGTAAACTGGTCCTTATTTTAAAATATTTGCTGTGCAAAATGTGACATGGAAACTTTAATGAACCTTATCATTCCAAATCTGCAACAACCGTCTTCATTCAACATGAGAAGTGTTTTTTATTCAAGAATGAAGAGGAGATGTCGCTCCACTTGACAAAGCGGCCACAAAGATTGTCAAGCACCACCGCAGCTTGATGGCCTCTAAGAATGGGTTTATTTTAAATTCTAAACGTCATATACTTATAATCCATTTGTATCACTCCTGTTCACAGTTCCTCCTTCTGTCTGGCTGCAAGGCATAAAAAGATCTGAACCTCCAACCAGCATCAAAACCCTAATGAACATCTGGGCCAATTGGTCACACAACAAGAGAGAAGTGTTGGTTTGGTCACATTCAGACACCTACTGACACAAAAAACAATCCAAAAATCAGCATGTGTTGGGAGCTGGGTGAGGAAAGAACAAAAATACTGGGGTGTCTGTAAACTTCTTATCAAATCTGGGAATAATGAGCAGAAAGAAAACTGTGAGGCTGATTTGATCAAAACTCACAGATGAGATTGTTACCAGCAGGAGGAGGGTTTGAGGTTTAGTAGTTATGAGAAAACAAACCCACTCTTGAGAAATATGAAGAGACGCGGTGAGCTCTGGGTCAAAACGAGGGATAAAGCTGACTATAGCTGCAAGGAAGGAGGTGAAACACACACATCCAGCCATCCACTTTCGAACAATCCACTGCAGCCTGTTGTAGTGAGGATTTAATCAAGCAGCAACATATATATCAGCTTTATAGGCAGATAAAGAGCAGATGAGATATAGTGCCGCCTGACACTGGTGAAGGTCATCTTTAATTATATAGGCAGACAGTTTGTAGGAAGCTTTTCAAAATTTAACACATATGCACTTACTATATTGCAAAAAACAATAGACTTTAGAAACAAAATATACATAACAACTACAAATACAGACAAAAATAATGCCATGCACATTTGTAGTCATCTATGTCGTTTAAATGCAAGACACTGCATGAGTTCAGTGGAATGTCAGACACACGTTTTTAACTGTTTCACCACAGCCAAACATGCTTGACTGAGCAAACTGACACGGCACACATTCAAGCACACACTATTCCAGTTAACCATAAAAAGCAAGCACCGCGAAGCACCGGGAGGAAGGCACCAGCCACCGCTGGCTGCAGCACGAGCACTACACCAGGCACAGCACATTGCACAAGGCACTGGATCCCAGCAAACCTCTCAGGAGGAAAATCACTTATTCTGTGTGGAAGATGCATTAAGCAGGATTAAATTTAGAGCTTCTCTTTAAACCTGAGAAGGAAGTTCTTTACGTGTGAGTGTTGGGGGATACAGCTGAGAGGTTTGTCTGAGAGGGGGAGGCAGGCTGAAGTCACTGGTCAGACACGAGCAAACACACGGTCACTCACTGGGTGTCGCTTTGGAACGTCATAGACACCTTCCTTCTGCTGACTGGTGGGAACCTATACAATCGACCAACAGATTCAGAAAACAGCCAAGAGAGCCTGTTACCTCTGGATCAATAAGCAATAAGTCATTTCACATCACCTTCTCAGCATTGCGACATACCGGTGGCCAACCCTAATCCCTGCACCTTTCAGGAACAGTATCAGTCACTTTTGTTTCTGGTTGGGATGATCAGGATTAAAATCAGTCAAGTGAAAGCTCATCTACCAGGTTAATAAAGGCCTTATCTGTGCTGCTGATCACACCCGCAGACGTGCAATAACTCAGAATGTCACATATGTAGACATGTAATATTACTATGTCACACAGACAGATAGTATTGACTGCATGTGATTGGAAGATATGATAGCTGCGTGCACGCGTGCATCATGACACTCATTTTGTTTATTGTCTTTTGAAAGTTTGAAATACAGTTCTGCATTTAGCAAATCAGACTGAGAGATCAATAAAGCTCATGACAAATGTGGGCATTCATCTTTTTTTTGTTCTTCCGATGCCTTGACTTTCACATTCATTTCCAGAAGCTGCCATCTTTATTCATACTTCAGCTCTGCGGCTGAAGGGACTGGCTGGATCTCACATTTCCTGTGTGTTGGGATTTGCTTATATGTGTTCCCCCCACCCCTCTTTGTTTTCAATCCATTTTATTTAAAGATTAAACGATTAATCTTTCTCCCCTGACCTCCCTGCTTTCTTTCATTTCCTCAGGAAAAAGTGAAAAGGAGGTGCAAAAATGAGGAAGGGTCTGCCTTCTGATAGGGCCAGGAATAACCACTGCAGCCCATACACGTGTAACCCCCTCCAACACACACACACACACATCCCTTGGAGGTCTAACACTGTCTCTAAGGGGAGCAAATCATTTTCTCAGACTAAGCTGTAGCTGAATTGGCCCTCAGGAAAGAGTTGGTTTGAAGATTTTTTTTTCTGCAGATTTTTGCACTCTTTTCTGTCCTCATTTTATGCATTAAAAACAAGCAATTCATTTTGTATTCTGGCAATAGTTTATTAATTATATAAAGAAGGTAATGTAATTCGCACAGATTGAACAGTAAGATTGAATCTTTGAAATTTAAACACTTTTAGTGACAGCTAAAAAACAAAAGACCCAAGCGAACAAGGTAAGCTTGCGAGTACCTGATAAATGCTCTCTTCTGATTGGTCACGGATGGGTTCGTGCCCCGCCTCAAACACAATGTACTACAGCAGCAGAGGGAGCAGAGGAAACAAAAGAAGTAGGAGGAACATTGGATCGTGAAGAAACTGAGAGAAAAGTGGTGAAATCTTAGAGGTGATTGGTAAACAGCATTGTCAATAAAAGTCAAAGGACAGAACTCAGAGGAGGAGAATCAATGCAGCGAGAAAAACCCTAAAATAGTCAGAAACTTTCAGTTCATACATGCGCTAACTGCCATGCTTATACAGATGTTTCCTACATGATGTCTCTTCAAACACCTGCAGTATGAACAAAATGCACAACTTCCACACCGTACCCAAACACGAGCTGTCTCCCCACAGTGCACACAGAGAGAAGCAAGCAGGTGACAGCGGTGATGTGATTGGTTAGGGAGTTACCTGGTACACCGGGTCCTCCAGATCCTCCTCCAGTATTGTCTGTTGAGTGCCGGCAGAAAGGAGGGGGAGAAATCAAACCGGGAGGAGAGAAGAGTGGAGAAGACAGGAGAGAGGTAAGAGGTGGAGAGTTAAAGCCAACGAAGTGGAATCGGTAGGCAGAAAGCAGCGAAAAGACTTCCCAGCATTCAGATAATCATTTTGCATTCATCATAAGGAAAGAGAGAGAGAGAGAGAGAGATAAATAAAAGAAATTAAACAGAAAGTGTGGTAAAGGCAGAACATCAAAAAGGAAAACTATTGTGCCGCTGATGAAACCTACAAAAGGATGCTCGTTCTTTGATAAATTTTCAAGCCTCACCTGAAACTCTGACAATAAACTTGACCACAACAACAAGGGAGAGTTGTTAAATGTACCTGGTAGACCGCCTGCTCACACTGCTTGTCCTTTTGGGCCTTTTTCTCCATCTCTTCTCTCTGTTTTATCTCATAAATGAGCTGGAACAAGTCCCGCAGGTCCAGAATCACAGGCTCAGCCTGGGGTGGCAAGAACACATTACCCACATTATTAAACACATGCTAACAGAACTCATCAGAACTCACATAAAACATCAGTGACTGTTTACTGTAATCGGTGACAGACTTATGGGCTGTTTCTTGCTTGATAAAGATGTACAACATATAATAAAATAAAGTTAGCTATTGAAGAATGCATTTTGCCCACCATGTTATGTTGTTGATTTGTCATATGCAAGTTAAGACCAGTGGTGCTAAATGGTGTCTTTGGCATGCCCCCTCCTCCGGTGCAGACCCTCTCCCTCGTTGACAGTCATGTCAAACTGGTTCAAAACCAACAAAGACCATGCTCAATAATCCAGGTATACAATCCAACAATTTTCAGTCAGGTCATCTGGCCAATTTCTTTTTTGTGCTGAAATGTTTCACCTTCCATCCAGAACCGAAGGAGGGAGCGTGCCAGATGACCTGACTGAAAATTGTTGGATTTTATACCTGGATTATTGAGCATGGATTTTGTTGATTTTGAACAAGAAATACTAAAGCATGCAATAAGGGTTCAACATAAAGTACCAAAAAGTGAAACAGAAATATAATATTTAGAATGTTCAAAAGAAATATAGTAAACAACGTGGTAGAATATAACGTTGCAAGTAGGATGAATTAGTATAAATATGCATTTCACCGGTAAGTTTCACACATAAGATTAAATGTACATGATATATATCACACATAACTAACATATTCAGAACTACACAGGTTGTGTGACAGGTTATTGCACAGGTAGTGTAGGGGTTGTGGTTGGCGTTTCCTGGTGTCTGGACCCATATTGTGTTGTGTTTATGACATGTGTCCTTGTGATCCTCAGCCTCTGTCTTTGTAGAGTTTGTGTTTTCCTAGTGTCTGGCTCCATCTTGTGTTGTGTCTCTGTCCTGCTCCCTTGTGTGTCTCATTGCTTCAATTCCCCACACCTGTGAAGCTCATAGGTTTTATGTGTTAGTTCTCGTTAGTGTCTGTATTTAAGCCTGTGTGTTTGTCTTCCCTGTGTCCTGGAATTGTTATCATTCTGCTGATGATGTCCTGGTCTGCTCCCTGTGAACTCCTTGTTACTCCATGTAAGTTTTGCTGCCATGTCAGCCTTTTTTGTAAATAAATACTTTATTCAATTATTCTCCTGAGTCCTCAACTGTGTGCCTGCACCACTGTGTTTACCAGCACCAGCCCCTCACGACAGGCAGTGAGTAACATTGAGATGCATTGAATTATGATGGTAAGGTAGGGACATACATGATATATGACATACATGCATACATGATACAGCCACATAGTGTAGCAGCAAGAAACATATTAGGTGTCACAGAAGTGGCTTGGTGTAATGTTATTGTCAGTTGTTCAGTATTATTATCAAGAGTTCAGTAATCCGACAGCTTGTGGGTAATACCGGTAACTGTCTTTGAGTCTTTGAGCCACCTTTCACATTTGCACATTTAATTTGTAATAAATATCAACCATGTGATTACTTTCTGAAAGTGTCATTAAAATCAATTCAGAGTTTCATAAGAGATTTTGCTAAGACCACGACAAAAGAACACATACATAGAAACAGGCAAACATATGTTTTTTGTCTTCAGTAGTGGGTTATAAAAAGTCATGCTGACGAGGAGCTTTTTGGTCAGTTTGGCCATTAAAAATTAAAGCATAATTATGGTTATTCATACAGATTCAAGACTACACATTTTGATGATTCATATCGTGTCAGCCACACTGATTACTGGCACATCAGCAGCTCTTTCTGAACCAAAGGTTGGAGGCAAAACCACTTCATCAGGTTCAGTTTGAGCAACAGTTCAGCTTCATTATATCCCACCCTGCACTGAAAGAGGACTATTGGCCCAACAACAGTGTCATTTTGCAAAGCAGTGACTCGTGATGTCATATTATAACAATGTAATATATTTGATCTGGGGGGAGTGGTTGCGCAGAGGCTAGAGAAGGTGGACCTGTGATCGGAAGGTTGCTGGTTCAACTCACCGAATTGACAACATCAAAATGTGGGTGGGAAATGTGAAACACCCACGCCTGCCTCCACCCTCATTTGACCCACTCTGGGCCCTTAAGCAAGGCCTTTAACCCCACCATCTGCTCCCCTGGGCACCCTAGATAGCAATTCTTCTCCACACAGAGGGCTGTGGTAGCTCAGTGGTCTGTGGTTGAGTCAGGAAGGACTTCCAGTGTAAAAACAATCACCAAGACTTCATGTGAGCTAGTTTGCTGTGGCAACCCCTGAAGAAGGGAGCAGCCGAAAGAAAAAAAAAGTTGTATTTGGTCTGACTTAACTTAAAACCATAGCTGATGTTTGATCTGCTGGTTAGACACAACTTTGGACTTTGAAAATCAGACAATGGAATATTACTACTGATGATTTTCTTGTCTGACCAAGCATAGACCTTTGCAAAAATTACCCCTGAATACTAGCATGAAAATACAAACAGTGCAATCAGTTTGTTCAAAGTCTTTCACTATAGTTAACATGCCCTTTGAATTGATTGTTTTCAGCACCACAGTGACACACAGCTCAGGATATGGAAGCTTCAGACTGCGGTAAATAAATATCACCGTCAGAACTCAGGATGTGAAAACCAGGTTAAAGCTCACCAGCACACAAACAGGCAATGGTGTTCTGCAGTTTTATTGTTGCCATAATTCAAGCTGAATTCCTCCTCTGGATCGGGTTCGGACAGCAACAGTGAACAGATTCCAGCCTCCAGTCTTCCTTCGCACCATCAAGGGAGCAAACAGCAACAAACCATTTACACATAACATATAACCACTGTCACAGCACTGTTGCAAAGAGTCTTATAGAGCAGTGTTTCACACCTAATCAATTATTGACTGGAGTTATGCAGTGCACACAGAGTTCATAGACAGAAAACTACTTTGCATAAAGCAGTTCTATTTCAGCGCCGACTTTCTGCAAGATGTTCTCAGCTCTATTGCATATGACAGACAGACACGCTGGGGTAATCTTTCTCTCCAGCTGAGCCAACAGTGAAAGATATTGTCACTCTTTCAAATTCAAATCCGCTTTACATTTGACAATACAAGGCACATCAGTGCTAGTAGAATAAAACAGCACATCTGCCAACTTTGAAGAAAGTCGAGGAGACCCAGCTTGGGTAGAAAACATTTTCAGTTCATGAGAGCGACCAAGAACAGACACGATGCATCACTTATTTTTACTGTCTGTCACACTTATTTATTACAGAAACCTGAATTCATCTTATGTACACAAACAGAAAAGGGAACGTCTTTGGTAGATCAAGACAAGCTGTTGGATTTATTATTTTTTTTAACAAATTCTGGCTTTTTAAAATTAATTATCTTAGTCACATTTGTTGGGCAGCACGGTGGCGCAACTGGTAGAGCTGCTGCCTCTCAGCGAACAGGTCCCTGGTTCAAACCCCGGTCCAGGGGCCTTTCTGGGTGGAGTTTGCATGTTCTCTCCGTGCATGCGTGGGTTTTCTCCGGGTACTCCGGTTTCCTCCCACAGACCAAAAACATGCATGTTAGGCTGATTGGTAACTCTAAATTGTCCCTAGGTGTGAGTGAGAGAGTGAATGGTTGTTTGTCTCGTTTGTCTCTATGTGGCCCTGTGATGGACTTGCGACATGTCCAGGGTGTACCCCACCTCTCGCACAGTGATTGCTGGACATGGGCACCAGCGACCCCCGTGACCCAAAATGGAATAAACGGGTAAAGATAATGGATGGATGGATGGATAGTCACATTTGTTTACTTTAGAGTTTAGTAATTTCTTGGTGAAAATTAGATGTTCAATATATTTTTTAATCCTATTTATTAGTGTTTCTGTCTAAGGCTTTTAAAACATACCTACTGCGCTTGTCAAAAATGTGCCAAAAGGTAGAAGACACAGATTTGTGTTTCCACAACCAACTGTTTGATTGAAGCTGTGATGCTGAGTGACGCAGTATGTTAAGAGACAGTATGGCAGAACACCACTTTAAAGATTTGAACTACCTCTTTAAGGCTTTGAGACCTATGAAATCAATTGTGCCTTTGGTATTTACCCACTTTTTTAGTATGTTTTTTTCTTTTGATCTGAGATAAAATTATCTTAAGTGTTGGGAACAATTACAAAAGAACAAAGTGACATCTTTGTCTGTTCAGAAAATACACGGCAGTTAAACAATAACATAAATATCAGAAGGTCTGTTATACTATAGAGCACTTTTATAACCTTGTTTAATAAAATGCTCTATAATGTTTTTGCTTCAGGACTTCTCACTCTTTACGATGCTGATATGCTGATATCAATATCAGTTTGATAAATGATTATGTATCGAAGTATCTGAATCTATCTATAAACCTATAGTCACAATGGGTAGTGACCGAAAGAATGAGATTGCAGATACAGGCGGTTGAAATGAGTTTCCTCTGCAGGGTGGCTGGACTCTCCCTTAGAGACAGGGCGAGAAGTTCAGTTATCAGGAGAGACTCAGCGTAGAACCGCTGCTCCTCCACATTGAGAGGAACCAGTTGAGGTGGTTCAGGCATCTGTACAGATGCTCCCTGGGCGCCTCCCTAGGGAGGTGCTTCGGGCATGTCTGACTGGGAGGAGACCCCGGGGAAGACCCAGAACATGCTGGACAGACTATGTCTCTCGGTTGGCCTGGGAACGCCTTGGGATATCTACAGAAGAGCTAGAAGTAATGGCTGTGAAAAGAGATGTCTGGGCCTCCATGCTCAAGCTGCTGCCCCCGCGACCTGACTTCGGAAAAAGCAGAAGATAATGGATGGATGGATGGTATCTGTGAATCTGTTTGACTAGTTCACATTTCGAGTGCTTACATAAACTTCATCATGGACATTTGGTGCACATATATACTTTGTACAAACCATTTCCAAAAAATAAGAATATCATGGAAAAGTTGTTTAACTTCCATAATTCCATTCAAAAAGTTAATCTTTAATAGATGATAGATTCAAGGCCCACAATTTAA